CCATATTATATAATGGAGGTCGCCAGCTTATATAAAAATGGTTCGCAGATCAAACGGATGTCATAAATTCTTTAGTTTATTTAATCAAGTCTCACTAGTAAGTGATATGTCCATTCCTCAGGATAGGTACGTCACTTGTAGTGTTGTGCTCGTTTATTTAAACTATTGTCTATATGAGATTGGTTCAGTCTCGTATTTTCAAAAATTAAAATATTACTTTTTCAAAATTAAAACATTATTTTTCTAAAAATCAATAATATATATATATATATTAAATCAAATTTAAATTACTTCAAAGATGAAAAAAACATATTCCCTGCCGACACTAAGCACATCTAAATTCCTAAACATGCATCTATCTTATTGCAAAAGTAAAGTAAAATGAAGAAAAGTTTTCACACCACTACTCCATGCAGCGTGGAAGTCGCTCAGAAGCTTCCAAAACATCCCAAAATGCCCAAAATTGCTCAAAACCCATCTAGAAAAGTTCTCAAGCGCTATAACGCTAGAATCTGTGCTATAGAGCCAGAATCTGCCCTATAGCACCTGTTTCTAGCCATGACTGGTGCTATGGCACCACCCTGCAGGCAAGACACATGTTTTACTCTGTTTTGGCACTATTTCATCCTGTTTCAACTCTGGTTCGCTCCTAGTGTTATACCTACAATATAGACATAAAAAAACATTTCTTTAAAGTGTAATTTCATTAAAAAACATGAGATAAATATAAAGGATATTAAACATAGAAAGACATATCAAAATGTGCTAGATCTGAGTTTCCTTCCCTACTAAATTTGGCTCTAAATTACAACATTTTTGCTTCATTTTCTCCAAAAATCCATTTCTTGTACCTGAAAACAAAAATATGCAAAATAACTTCCTTTAAAGTCCAAAATCATAAAAAATATGCTTAAAATAATCATGAAATGTACACTAAAAATAGGTAATTTTAAGGTGGATCAAGACAAAAATGGTATTGATCGGTCCGTAAGGACCGATCGAGGTAGAAGTGGTGTCAATTGATTGACATTGACCTATTGGGCACAAGTGATGTCAATTGGTCTAGGACAATCGATTGAGACATAATGCCACTGATCAGTCCAAGACAATTAATCAAGGCACAAATGGCGTCGATCGGTCTGGGACGAGCGATCCAGACACAAGTGTTGTCGATCGGTCTGGACTACTGATTCAGGCACAAGTAGTGTAAGTGCAAGATAATCTATGCATGGCACACATGACGTAATCCAAGGTAAGCAAACATGCTTGATAGTAAACCGTGCTCATGTTAACACCCTCACTTAGGAACCTAAAGTTAAGCACTTGGATATACGACATTACTGCCTCCTACTTTGGCGAGGCACTTGGGTGGCTCCTCTTTTAGATTCCATAAAGGGAAAGCTCTCCCTAACATAACAAAATGGGGAAAAGCTACAAAGCTTTTCCCCATTTTGTGTACTCCTTAGAACTTTACAAAGTGAGTCAACTACAAAGATTTTCTCACTTAACCAAGTCCAAACTCCTATTTTCTCCAAAGAAAATTGGGGAATCTAAAGCAAGGAGGAGAAGGGACTCTAACGCATAAGAACTTATGCTAGAGCTCACAAAAAAGGATTCACTCAGCTCTACAAAGGTTATTTGGCCACACATAAAATTGTATCCTCGGGCTTTCTCTAAGGAAAGCGATGATCCATCACATACGCATGTGGCCGTGCTCGTTCACGCCGGCCGACGAACTCACTTTTGTGGGAAATCAAACCCCCCATGAAGCCATAACTAGGACCTTGACCTAGCTAGGGAAGGAAATGTCAGAGGTGAGAATCTCACCATCGCGGAGTTTTCTTGATGTCCACTGGAGTGCAAGAAGAAGCTCTCCTAAAAGATAGGAGAGAAACCCACAAGTCCTTCCCGACACTAAGAAGAAGCTCTCCTCGCTAGAGAGATCGTCGGAGTTGCCTTCTCGCAAGCTAGGATGATGCTTTCATAGTCATTATTCTTGAAAACTTGGTCAGATTTGAAGATGATGGTGGCACATAAAGAAAATGTTGGAGTATGACCAACCCTTAACTCCCTCTTGAAGAAAAACACCCCAAAGTTTAAGCCCTCAAAGAAAAGAGAAAATTAAGAAGAAGAAAGAGAAAAAGGATGCAAAAGAAGAGGTGGATGAGGAAGAAGAATCCTAGCCCTCCAAATAATCCCTCACAACACTCTGCAGAAGCTATCCCAGCTCCCTTACACCCCTTCAGCTCACCCTAGAAAAATGACATTGATCCTCTCGAATGTGGAGGGCTGGTTCGAATAAACAACAAGTCCCTCCCCCAAAATAATCCAAATTCCCCCAAAAGATGCCCATGAAACTTCTAAAGTGAAGGAAAAAAGGTCCTTTTGGATCACTCCCAAGGCTCATGATGAAAATCCTGCGAAAATGGTGACTTCAGGAGTCGAAATGGCGCCTGAATCGATCAAAATCGCGACCAGGGTGGCGATCAGTGCCTTGACTCCACTTTCCCAAGTTCCTGGGTGCTACTTGGGCTCCTAGGTGCTACTTTTTTGGGTGCCCAAGAGCTATTCTGGGAGTCTAGGCATCAAAATAGGAGGCGCCTAAGCCCAAGCACTCGAGAAAATTAGGGTTTTTAGCCTGCTTGTCGCCTAGGCGCCCTGTTTGTTTGGCTTCTAGCTGCCGGGTTTGTGCCAAATGTCAGACATCTAGAGGCTCATTCTTGAAGGTCTGGGAAGGCATTTCAGACTCATGGGCCCCTGCGATCGGCGCCGAGGCGCCAGTCTAGTCCGAAACCCTGATTTTCATCGAGAACACCCGGCATAATATCTTTTTGATCTGAAAGCTATGAGAGGCTCCATGTGTGAGTAAAATATAGTATCATAACTTCAAAATGGAGTGACTTGGTTGGTTATTCACTGGAAAAATTTGTGTCTACGATCATCCTAAACCGCGACCCGGGTAGGGTGTCCCAATCCCTAATTTTTCTGTAGCGAACGTATGTGGACTCCATGATTTTCCATTGTTGTGGGAGGCTCCAGATGGATGTGTGGTGAATTCTAATCATTAAATTATACCAAACACGTCTCACATCCCAGATGGGTCTCTCGGAGGGAATTTTTCTGGTTATGGTTGAATCGCCACCAACCCTAGCTAGTTGCCCAAGCAAGTGCCAAAAGATCCCAGCTGGGTGTCTTGAGCTACTAGATACTTCGGATGAGCTGTGGACCATCCTTAGTCATGCAGGTGGACACCCTACACTTGTGACATTAAAAATTGATGCCAACAGTTGGCTAACAAGAAAATGTGGAGATGGATATCCTTCAAGGTTAC